TTTGTAGTATAATCTGAAGTCAGAAGGTTGATTCCTCCAGCTCCATTCTTCTGTCACAAGACTGCTCTGGTGTAAAGTTAGGTTGTCTATTCAATGTTTTTCTTGAGGTAGCATTGTATTGATATAAACTTCCCTTGTTGAACTGCTTTTGCTGCATCCCATAGATTTTTAGTTTTCATGTTTTCATTGTCATTTGTTTCTAGAAATTTTTTTATTTCCCTTTTGATTTCTTCAGTAACCTGTTGATTATTTAGAAATGTGTTGTTTAATCTCCATGTGTTTGTCTTTTTTACACTTTTTTTTCTTGTAATTGATATCTAGTCTCATAGCATTTGGTCAGAGAAGATGCTTGATAAGATTACAATTTTATTAAATTTACTGAGGTTTGATTTGTGGCCCACGATGTTGTCCACCCTGGAGACTGTTTCATGTGCACTTGAGAAGAAGGTGTATTCTTCTGCGTTTGGATGGAATGTCCTGAAGATATCCATGAGATTCGTTTCATTTTTTATTTATTTATTTTTTTAAGAGCTACATCTCATTTAATGTATCTTTTAAGACTTGTGTTTCCCTATTAATTTTCTGTTTTGATGATCTGTCCACTGGTGTGAGTGGGATGTTAAAGTCTCCTACTATTGTTGTGTTACTATCAATTTCTCCTTTTATGTCTGTTAGTGTTTCTCTTACGTATTGAGGTGCTCCTATGTTGGGTGCCTAAATATTTACAATTGTTATGTCTTCCTCTTGGACTGATTCCTTGATTATTATGTAGTGTCCTTCCTTATTTCTTGTAAACTTCTTTATTGTAAGGTCTATTTTGTCTGATATGAGGATTGCTACTACAGCTTTCTTTTGCTTCCCATTTGCATGGAATATATTTTTCCATCCTCTCTCTTTCAGTCTATGTGCATCTTGAGGTCTGAGGTGGGTTTTTTGTAGACAGCATATATATGGGTCTTGTTTTTGTATCCATTCAGCCAGTCTGTGTCTTTTGGTTGGAGCATTTAATCTTTTTACATTTAAAGTAATTATTGATATATATGTTCCTATTTCCATTTTCTTAATTGTTTGGGGTTGATTTTGTAGATCTGTTTCCTTCTCTTGTATTTCTTGACTATATAAGTCTCTAAATTTGTTGTAAAGCTGGTTGGGTGGTACTCAATTCTGTTAACTTTTGCTTATCTGAAAAGCTTTTGATTTCTCCATCAATTTTGAATGAGATCCTTGCTGGGTATAGTAATCTTGGTTGTAGATTTTTCCCTTTCAGTACTTTAAATATATTCTGCCATTCCCCTCTGGTCTGCAGAGATTCTGCAAAAGATCAGCTGTTAAGCCTACGGGGTTTACCTTGTATGTTACTTGTTGCTTCTCTCTTGCTGCTTTTTCTATTCTTTCTTTGTGTTTAGTCTTTGTTAGTTTGATTAGTATGCATCTTGGCATGTTTCTCCTTGGTTTTATCTTGTATGGGACTCTTTGTGCCTCTTGGACTTGATTATTTCCTTCTCCATATTGGGGAAATTTTCAACTCTAATCTCTTTAAAAATTTTCTCACACCCTTTCTTTTTCACTTCTTCTCCTGGGACCCCTATAATTTGAAAGTTGGTGACTTTGATATTGTCCCAGAGGTCTCTGAGACTATCCTCAGTTCTTTTCATTTTTTTTTTTTTTACTTTATTTGATTCATTTTCTGCTTCTGATATTCTACTACTGATTTCTTCTAGAGTAGTTTTCATTTCAGTAATTCTGAAATGTTTGTTTTGTTTGTCTCTCTATCTCCTGTCTTTCTTGATGTGAGACATTCTAACAGATATGATGTGATATTTTATTGTAGTTTTAATTTGCATTTCCTGGAAGATTAGTCACGTTGAGGACCTTTTTATGCACCTGTTGGCTAAAGCTATAAAATTCTTAGAAGAAACAAAGGGGAAATGTTTCATGACATTGGATTTGGCAATGATTTCTTAGATATGTCACCAAAAGTATAGGTAACATGATAAAAAATAGATGAATTAGTCTTCATTACAATTAAAAACTTTTGTGTGTCAAAAGATACTATTAACAGAATGAAAAGACAACCTATGGAAAGGGAGAAAACAGTTGAAAATCATGTATCGTTATTTTATCTAGAATATATAAAAAATCCCCCCCATATATGTGTGTATATAATATATAAAGAATTCTACATATGTAAAGAATAAAGATGTTCAACCTAACATCATTAGGGAAATGCAAATCAAAACCATAATGACGACTTCACACCACCTATGAACTAAAAAAAAAAACAAACCAAAAACCCAGAAAACAAGTGTTGGCAAAGATTTGGAGAAATTGAAACCCTGTGTATTGCTAGTAGGAATGGGAACTATGTAGCCACTATGAGAAAGAGAATATCAGTTCTTCAAAATTAAACAGAATTTCTACCTGTTTTGGCAATTCCATTTCTGGGCATATAACCAACAGAAGTGAAAGCAGGGTATTGAAGAGATATTTATTCACATACCTATGTCCACAATAGCACTATCCACAATAGCCAAAAAAAGTGGAAGAAATTCAAGTGTCCATCGACAGATTAATGGGTAAACAAAATATCATATATCCATAAAGTGAAATATTATTCAGCCTTTAAAAGGATGGAAATTCTGACAGATGCTATAGCATGAACCCTGAAGACATGCTAAGTGAAACAAGACAATCTCAAAGAGAAACACTTCAGACTCTTACATGACATACCTGGAGCAGTCAAGGTTTCAAGACAGAAAAGCAAAATAGTAGTTGCCAGCAGCAAGAAGGGGATGGGGAGTTAGTGCTTAATTGGTGCAGTTTCAGTTGGGGAGGATGAAAATGTTCTGGAGATGAACAGTGGCAGTGAATGCACAACACTGTAAATGTATATAGAAACGTACATTTAAAAATGGTTAAAACCATAAATTTTGTATTATGTATATTTTATAATTAAAAAAACCAATAAAATTTTCAGTTTAAAAACAAGGTAGAGCAGAACTACTAGGTTACAACAACAGCATGGACATGGGCAGAAGACAGTCAGAATTTGTGTGCTGCAGTATCTTTTTAATATTCAGAAGGAGGTTATAGATGTCGCTTAATTTTGGACTTTATAAAGTATATACACTAAAATGTTGAGCATAACCAATGAAAATAAAACGTATGATTTCCAAATGTGTCAAGGCAAAGTTCTAAGTAGAACATACTATTATGATATATCATTTACTGGTTATTATTTATATCCTAGTAAAAGCTAAGGGAAAAATAGACACCAACTTTTAGAAAGAACAGAAGGATAAAGTTTTGACTGGGGCTTTAAACTGTACCCAAAACATTATTCCTTCAAAAATTTTCACATATGAAGATATATACGGTAGGGACACAAATTATTCTCTATGCTTTAAGTTTGAAATAAAATTTTTTGAGATTAATAACACAAAATCTATTAAAAGTTGTATTAAAAAATTTTGTGATTATTCATTATCAGGAGGAAGGCCAATCTTCAAACTTGAAAGAAATAAAAGTAATCACAAAGTGTGAAAGGATGAAAAGTATATATATATATATATGTATCACTCTCAAATATTCTCAAATTCTAACTAAATTCAAAAGATAAAAACTTTACCTTCAGCAGATACAATGCTAGTATATTTATATAAGAAAATATATAAAGAGAAGAAGAAACTTAATACAAAAGGTAAAGAAAATGACCAAGAAAGAATAAACTATGTCCAATCAAAATAAGGCTTTAAAATTAACATTAAAGGAATGTTCCCTTTTTATAATTTATTAGTTTATCAAGGAATTGAAAACACCCAGTCAGTCAGATGTGGTGAAAACAGAGTAATTCTACACTTTCAGTGTTTGCTTACTTTGGCACAGTCCTTCAATACAGTTCTTCCTATGTATCGTACACATAGAAAAAAACATTCTTTTTCACATTGCTGCAATTTTTCCTAAAGAACTAATCCAGAAGGAAGAAAAGACTGACATCTAGGAAGACAGTCCTTGCGATATTTACAATGTATATTGGAAGCTCCTAATTGCCCTGTAGTTACTTAATTAATTGTGCATTCCTTTTTAATAACAATCATGAAGACTCCACAGCACCAAAGGAAAAGCTAATGAGATGTTATAAAGAAATAGCGGGAAATGCAACGGAGAAGTTAGAACAAGGTTAGAGAATGCAAAATCAGTTCTGGTCTAGGAAGACATGAATGAAACACCCTCTAGAGAGCAAAATTTAGGCTGGATACCAAAAAACTCAATAGCCATGATAAAAAAAATATTTTAAAAAGGCAAAATTAGTGTGAAAACATCCATGGTAAAACTTCAAATTTTAAGTAAAAACAGAATCTGTCTTCTCCCTTGCACTATCCTGAGCGTGGCACACGTGCCTCTCCCCAGTTCAAGCTTAAAGATCCTGGCTCTGTTTAAATTGTGGAAGCTCCTAATTGCCCTGTAGTTACTTAATTAATTGTGCATTCCTTTTTAATAACAATCATGAAGACTCCACAGCACCAAAGGAAAAGCTAATGAGATGTTACAAAGAAACAGCGGGAAATGCAATGGAGAAGTTAGAACAAGGTTAGAGAACGCAAAATCAGTTCCGGTCTAAGAAGACATGAATGAAACACCCTCTAGAGAGCAAAATTTAGGCTGGATACCAAAAAACTTAATAGCCATGATAAAAAAAAAATTTTAAAAAGGCAAAATTAGTGTGAAAACATCCATGGTAAAACTTCAAATTTTAAGTAAAAACAGAATCTGTCTTCTCCCTTGCACTATCCTGAGCGTGGCACACGTGCCTCTCCCCAGTTCAAGCTTAAAGATCCTGGCTCTGTTTAAATTGACACGATTTTCATCAAGAGTAGTTTTGCATTAATTTTTTTTTTGCATTGATTTTTAAATAAAAAAACAAAATTGCATTAAACTGCCATTTTCTCGAATGGAAAGCTCCCTTAAATGTTGCACCCCAGGCGAGGAGCTCTACTCACCCCAGTCCCAGCCCTGTGCAAACCTTTGCTGACAAGAATGCGTTAGAGTGATAGTGGTTTTCATTTCTTGAAATGAAAGTGTAAACTTTACGTGTATTTTTAAATCCAAACTCTTAAGTGCGGTTCCCCACAGCCTTCAGCAGAGCAGTGGCCCAAACGCTGCGGCTGAGGGGGCGCATTCTGCAGGGGTTGTCGGAGGTTTAGGCAACCGCCTTAGGGCCTCACCATGAAGCGCATGTTAGCCCCTCGGGGCAAGACGTTGCCCCGGAGCTCATTGTGGAGGTTCACGTACTCATTGATAAACCTTACGTCCTCCTCGTCAGGCAAAAGATTCGCGTTCAAACCGGAACCCAGCAGTAGCAGCCAGAAGTCACATAGCCACACCTTCCAAATGCCCGTCTGCGTCAAAGGAAACCATCGGGCGTACCACTCCACGGAGAAAGGAAGGGCCGCCATAGTCCACCTGCCGCGGACAGGCCAGTGCGCACGCGCAGGCTCGCCCCGGCGGCCTACCAGTCCACGCGGAGGGGCGGTGCAGGCAGCAGGGCCCCGCCCATCCGGGAGCGGAGGGAAAAGTATCAGCAAGAGGCAAAACAGGGAAGACTTGTGAAAACCATCTGCAGAATTAACCGAAACAGACGGCTGAGTTACGAGAGTGCAGGGTTTTCTCTAAAGTGATGTTGGCAAATATCTAGAGTCGGTTTTTGACAGCAGATGATGTGTCATCCTTTATTAATGAGTCGACTACAGAGTAAATGTCAATTGCTGAGTAAATAACCTGAGTAATTTGCGAATTCTATGATACTGATGAAAATTCAGTCGAAAAAAAGAAATCCTTGCTAGTTATGTTGGGATTTTAGTGCAAGATGCTCCTTTTATTTCCATCCTGGGGAAGAATATTCTCTTGTAGACCAACTTCCTCATTGAGATTTCCACAATGTTTTAATGATCCTTTGTGGGAAACTGCAGAATAAATGAGAAGAGTGGAAAGCTTAGCAGGTAGGGGCTAGATTAGGGCTCATCGAATTCTCATAAAGTTAAAATATTTTCATTTTTTTCTTCCGCCAGCCTGTATAGACAATCTGAAATATCAATATCATCTCTGATAAATTGTCATGATAACCGTTGACAACACTTTTTTTTTTTTTTTTGGTTTTCACAAGGACATTTTTCCAAGAAAGTTTTGAGAAAGATAAACGATGCTCCCACAGGATTTCATGGAAAACGTTCACCCGACTTTCTGAATTGTCTCTGGGAGTCCAATCGGGGCTGGCAGGTCCCTGTGGGCTGAAGGACAATTGTCCAGCCTGCAGGGGAGTTTCCGGCTGCCTGACAGGGACTGAAATGCATCCAGAAGGACAGAGAAAAATATTTATTTTCAGCCTCGGGCGAAAATCTTAAATTCATAAATGTGTGAATTCCAGAGTCACGGAAGCAAAGTGTAAATTATTCAGGATTGTCTGTATTCTGCGGATAGATTGTGCAATGAGAGTGTTGAAACCAGAATGATAGGAATGAGAGAGATGCAGTTTATCTTATAAGAGTCATGCTTAAATAAATACTGGGGAGTGTTCAGGGCTATTTAAAATAAGACGTAGAGTTCTACCACGCGGCCACCTAACGCCGACTCCCACTGCTGTTTCTACTTCCACTCTTGCCATGTTTTGGCTCTGCTTCCATTTCTGGTATTTTCTTTCAGTTCATTTACTGTTCAAACAGCCCTCGATTTTCAGGTCACTTTCCATATTTAACTTTAACCCTTTCTTTCCCCATTTGTTAATCCAGAAAGCGCTTCACTATTGCTCTTTTTTCCTACTTACACTGAGCTGAATTATTTTCTTAATCTTAAAAGATGTCTTTAACCATTCAGAAATGTACAAAAATGACAAAGAATTAAGAGGAAAACAAATCTACAAGAATGGTCCAGTTCTCATATAATTCCTGCTCACGTTAAAAAAATCCTAAATTTTATAAACACTTGAAAATGCAAACAGTACAGAGAAGTGCAACATGCAAGATGAACATCTCTCCTCTTTCGTGCAGACCCTCCTTTCTTCTGCTGCTTGATTTAGCAAAATAAGACACAGGATATCCAGTTAAAGGTGAATTGCAGATAAACAGTATTTTTTAAAAAAAATTATTTGGTCGTTGTGTCATGTGAACTCTGAGTTATGGCATGTGGGATCTAATTCCCTGATCAAGGACGGAACCTGTGCCCCTTTGCTTTGGGAGCACAAAATCTTAGCCACAGGACCACCGGGGAAGTCCCATAAACAACATTTTTTTTTAGTATAAGTATATCCTGCATATTGCCTGGGACACACTTATGCTAAAATATTTTTTGTTGGTCTGAATTTCAGTTTTGACTTGGCACCCTGTCTTGTGCCAGGCAATCCTATCCCTTCCCTGCCTAGACCCTCTCTCCAATGCACATCTGTGGGGTACATCCTAGCAGTAGGATTGAGGGTCAGAAGAATCTAGAATTGAGACTGGGTTGGAGAAATTTATTGAAATAAATTGAGCACTGCAGTGAGCTTCATCCTGCTCATCTTCCAGGGAAAACTTTTGTTCAAGTGCTGGCAACAGCTGGATGCTTACAACAAAAGAAACAATCAACACACTGAAAAGACNAGGGAACTAAAATCCCACATGCCTCCAGGCACCTGAAACCTGTGCTCACTAACAAGAGGAAGTCCAAGCACAACAGCCAAGACCCAGCACAGCACAGCCAAAAAAAAAAAAAAGGTGTACACAATAGAAAGCAGCATAGCTCACAAGATGTTTTCATTCATGCCTTTTTTCATTAAATATATATTACCAGGTAGTGTGTTAGGTGGGTAAGAAAGGCCAATGAACAAGGCAAAAATCCTGCTTCCAAGTAGCTTACAGTCTGGAGAACTAGCAAACTGGGGTCTTTTATGCCATGGGAGAACCACAAAGCCAAAGCCCTCTGGCATTACGCGTGGGACAGCTAACCCCCTTTTTGAGGACTAGGTAAGCCTGTGTGAGGAATCTGACATCAAGAAAGTGAAGCACACAAGATAAAGAGTGCTTTCTAAACAAAGTAAAAAGCATACAATATCCCAGGAGATCAAAAAGGCTAAAAGTGTTTTAGTAAGACCAGAGCATACTGTGGGGGTGAAGGTGGCAAGTGATGAAAGATGGAATTCCTTCATTATATTGATTCTGTTGTTAGACTATGAAAATTGCTATGTTAAAGCACAAGATAAATGGAATAATGCCGTCTTAGACTAGCAAAAAGTGTTAGACTTTAGTCCCAATGTATTAGACTTATTTTGGACACATCATTGATAGGGAAGTCACTATGTCTTAGGTAGCTCATTCCATTGCTGGACATCTTACTCATTGATTTAATACGTATTTCTTTAGGACATCTATGTGTCAGACCTACACTAGGTGTTAGAGATATAAATTATCAACAAACGAGATTCGTAGTCTATCCACTGAAGTTTTCAGTTAAAGGCTGTTGTTCAGTTGTCAAGCTGTGTCTGACTCTTTGAAACCCCATGGACTGCAGCACACCAGGCTTCCCTGTCCTTCGCTGTCTCCCGGAGTTTGCTCAAATTTAGTTAAAGGTGATACAGACAAATCATCAAATAACTGTAATACAGAGTAATAAATGCTATTTTAAAATTCATTTTAAAAATTATTTCAGAAGGTGTTTCATTTGTTCTCTATTGGGGTAAAAAATACATGACATAAAATTTAGCATTTTAATCATTTTTAGTGTAAAATTTGTGGCGATTATGTTCACAGTGTTGTTCCCAGAAATATCAGGTGCAGTTTTACATGCTCAGAAAGTATCAGCTCATTTAAATCATAAATACCTTAAGAAACACATATTATTATGTTTAAAATTTTTATTGAAGTATAGTTGATTTGTAGTGTGTTTAATT